ATATAACATTTATATAGCGCATTTCCAAAAAAAGTAGCTCAATGCGCTTTACATTGGAATACCCATTTTTCAAAAACCTTTCTTACTACTTCCTTTCTTCTCAAGCAATATACATTAATGCACACACACACACACATACACACACACACACACACACACACACACACACACACACACACACAGAGAGAGAGAGAGAGAGAGAGAGAGAGAGAGAGAGAGACTATTTTCATCCAGACATAGGAACAGAACAACTATAATGAAAGATAACGTTAAAAGCTTATGAAGGATAGGCCTGTAGGAACAGAAAATGTTTAAGAAATGACAGCAGTGTTATTGTCTCTATATACTTTGCCCTATTTAAACAATGGCCGTTCTTTTTTCGATATGCTAAACTTTACTCAAACAATGACCGTCATTATGTTGTTGTATTATTCTCCTCTTTACTCAAAGAGTGATAATCATTATGTCGATATAAATGTACTTCTGTTTATCTAATTATACAGTGATCGTCATTATGTCGATATAAATGTACTTCTGTTTATCTAATTATACTATGATCGTCATTATGTCGATATAAATGTACTTCTGTTTATCTAATTATACAGTGATCGTCATTATGTCGATATAAATGTACTTCTGTTTATCTAATTATACAGTGATCGTCATTATGTCGATATAAATGTACTTCTGTTTATCTAATTATACAGTGATCGTCATTATGTCGATATAAATGTACTTCTGTTTATCTAATTATACAGTGATCGTCATTATGTCGATATAAATGTACTTCTGTTTATCTAATTATACAGTGATCGTCATTATGTCGATATAAATGTACTTCTGTTTATCTAATTATACAGTGACCGTCATTATGTCGATATAAATGTACTTCTGTTTATCTAATTATATAGTGACCGTCATTATGTCGATATAAATGTACTTCTGTTTATCTAATTAAACAATGATCGTCATTATGTCGATATAAATGTACTTCTGTTTATCTAATTAAACAATGATCGTCATTATGTCGATATAAATGTACTTCTGTTTATCTAATTAAACAATGACTCATGTTCCTGCCTGTCAACTCCCCAGATGACAATAGCGGAGAGAATAGCCGACTTCAAAACCAATTTTGACACGAACGGGGACGGCTGTATTGACGACAAGGAGTTCCTGGCAAGGTTCACAGGTCACTGGGCTGGTCATTACTACTATTGTTTGTTGTTGTTGTAGTTGTTGTAGTTGTTGTTTTTGTTGTTATAATTATCGTTATTGTTATTGTTATTGCTATTATTAATAATGCTATTATTATTGTTATAGATCTAATAATAATAATTAGTAGTAGTATTAGTAGTAGTATTGGTAGTAGTAGTAGTAGTAGTAGTAGTAGTAGTAGTAGTAGTAGTAGTAGTAGTAGTAGTAGTAGTAGTAGTAGTAGTAGTAGTAGTAGTTGTAGTAGTAGTAGTAGTAGTAACAGTAGTATCATTCTTATTACTGTTATTTTTATTATTGTTTTTCTTCTTTTTCTTCTTCTTCTTCTTCTTCTTCTTCTTCTTCTTCTTCTTCTTCTTCTTCTTCTTCTTCTTCTTCTTCTTCTTCTTCTTCTTCTTCTTCTTCTTCTTCTTCTTCTTCTTCTTCTTCTTCTTCTTCTTCTTCTTCTTCTTCTTATCAATAATATAATGATAGTGTTCGCACAAACGACGACATACCCATGCTCTATTGAATTCCCTATGAACTTTACAACTACTATTATTACTCCAGCAGACCTTAGAACATGATTCAGAAATAATTAATCCAGCAAAATTGGACCTGGGACGCACACAGTGCAAGCAGCAGTTTAAGCACTTGAACAATAACACACTGAAAAGATAATTGGTCGCTTTTTGGACAAGCGGACTAGCCCAGATTTTGGAGGTTCCCAGGAACCTTGACCTACACCGAAAATGGGCCTTTTCCTACCTATAGGAGAAATTTGGTTTCAATGGTGTGTATATTTGTTTGACTTTTAGAGAAAACTCTCCTTGTCTTTTAAAGAAACTGAACAAGGGGTAAAAATTTTGCCTTCAATTTTCTCAAAACAGTATATTTCGGGACATCCCCCTTGTGCTTAAAAGCGACCAGTTTCCGACCTGTAACAGTCGATTCCACATTGGCGGGCTGAGGACATGTCGTGTGAAGTCCCTTTTCCGTTTACACAACATCTGTCCTTCGACGGGATTCGAACTCTTGGCCTTACGGTAATAACACCAACAGCCTAATCTCTGTCTTTGGTACTGAGATCTGGCGAGATATTAGCGGCTTGTTATGCCCCTTATCGGATTCGAACCCATGCCGTTACGGATGTGAGTTCAAGAGCCTATCCACTAACCACCAGGCTACCGACACATTTAATATCTTTCTTTATAATATTTTTTTTGGGGGGATGGGGGGTGGGGGGTGGGAGGTCTCACTTTATTTGTATTATTCTCTACTCTTTCTGGCGGGATTCGAATCCATTCTCTTATGGATACGAGTCCGACTGGTTAACGAAAGCACCACCATATTATTAACTATCTTTAACATTTTATTCCTCATTGAGTGTGTTCTTCTTTTTCGTGATCTAATTTGTCTCTTTGTTGCTTAATTTTTTCTTTCTCTTTCAGTGCTAAACTTCACTTCAGAATTTGCAACCTACAGATTTAAAATATATTTTTTAAATTTGTGTGTGTGTATGTGTGTGTATGTGCGCGCGCGCTTGTGTGTGTGTATATGTGTGTGTGCATGTATGTGTGTGTGTGTGTTTTCGTGGTCTAATTTGTTTTTTGTTGTTTTGGGGGATACTTACTTTCAGAGCTAAACTTCACCTCATAATTTGCAGCCAACATCTTTAACACTGTAAATTAATATAGTTGTTTTTTATTTTGTTGTGCTTTTTTCATGTGTGTGCGTGTGTGATTTCGAGATTCAATTTGGTTTGTTTCTCACTCTTTCAGCGCTAAACTTCACCTCGGAGTTCGCATCTTACAACTTTTGGTCAGTGGTCACAGCAAATGGTGACCTGGACAACCCTACCTGTGTTGGGTTCAACATAAGTAACCCTCGGATTGTTCCCGAGATCGCTGTCGTCAATTACAACATCGCCTCCCTCACCGGATGGTGTGGGAACAACCCAGCTCTCTACGTCAGCAACTCGGACTGCAAGTGAGCAAAATCATAATATGTGAGGCATCCTGGTGGGATTATTAGGCTCGCGTCAATTTGTGGGCATGTAGAGTTATTGGTATCATCTTAAAGCTTGTTCACTTGACTTTCTTTGGATGAAAATAAATATCCATTTATCTTGAATACAAGTTGAGATATTTGCGAATGAAGGAGGTGGGGGTGACCTGTTTTCAGAGGTAAAATTAGTGAGAAAATGGCCCCCAAAGATTTGTTATTTCCTTAGCGTAAGAGTCCGTGGTTACTGAAAATGTGCATTCTTTGCGCTTTTAATCAACGTTTTTCAGAAAAAATTCACACAGAAATGAGTTCTTTAATAGGCAAGAAAAGTGTTGAGCCAAAAAACAAAAATTTGAAAAAAAATCACAAACCTCAGCAAAAATGCAAGTTTCTTCATTTTGATAATTTTGACGAGAGCCTTGCAAATATCTCGAATTGTATTCAAGATATATTGATATTGTTTTCATCCAAATAAAGGCAAGTGAACAAGCTTTATGATGATACCGACAACTCCACATGTCAATTCTCAATTTCGCAATACTTACTTACTTACTACCCGTTACGCCATCTGGCGTTTAGGCCAGCAACAAAGGATCTCCAGCTCTGTCTGTTTTGGGCCATCTTGGTCATGACCATGACCAATTTCGCAATAGCAATGTCATATTTATTTATGACAGAAATTCTTTTTTGTGAGATTGTCAAGAATGTGTCGTGCGTTGTGTCTGGTCTGTGTCATTGAATGCTTCAACAGTAATCGACCATCATGGTGGTGTTCCGTCGGCCTTCAATCCTCGACTCCAAAATCGTGAAGTCTTTATAAGATCTTTCACCTAGCTCATCAATGGCCTCACCGAAGTTTTGAGAAAAAATTTGTGCTCTCGTGGTCTAGAGGTAATGGTATTTGCACTTATTCCAATAGGTCCCGGGTTCGGAACCTGATAACGATGGAAAGTTTTCTACTTTAAAATTTTCTGTTATCACCTCATTTCCTAAATCCAAACACTAAAATTGATAAGAGGAGGCTGCAGCAAAATTCAAAATTAGTTTCTACCTTATGCTAAATTACCAAAAACAAACAAACAAACGATCTAACGAACAAGCAAAACATCAAACACTTCCCCAGTTTATAGCCGGACACCCATTCCCACCTGGGTGAAAAGGGGGGGGGGGGGATTTGTGTAAAATACTGTTTTCTGAGATCACAATGACAGGCCGCTTGACGGGATTTGTATCCACAACCTTTTGAAATTATTATTTGAAAGTCTAACTACTAGACCACCGACGCCACTGAAGAAAGAGTGCTGGTTCAGAGCTCACAACTGTACGTGTAGAAAATCTCTATAGAAATAGACCAAGATAAAAATAGATCAAAGAACAAACCAACGACTTCATTCACAAACTGAAACTTTATAAGAGCAAAATATGTTGTTCGGAACAAGCCGAGTACATAACCC